AAGTAAATCAATATTCTGAATTATTACTTCCATAGTGCACCAAGTAAATCAATATTCTGAATTATTACATCCATAGTGCACCAAGTAAATCAGTATACAAATGATTACATCCATAGTGCAGCAAATAAATAAATATTCCAAATGATTACATCCATAGTACATCAAGTAAATCAATATTCCAAATTATTGCATCCATAGTACACCAAGTAGATCAATATTCCAAATGATTACATCCATAGTGGAGCAAGCAAATCAGCAGTACAAATTATTACAACCATAGTGGACCAAGCAAATCAGCAGTACAAATTATAACATCCATAGTGGACCAAGTAAAACAATATTCCAAATGATTACATCCATAGTGCACCAAGTAAATCAGCAATCCAAATGATTACATCAACAGTAAACCAGGTAAATCAATATTACAAATTAGGGCTGCAACAACTAATGTTTGGCAACGATTCTCATTATCGATTAGTTGGTGGGGGGAGGGAGATATATTTTTTTAATACAACCTATCGATCAGTTGCAAAAAAAATCGGGCAACAAATCGATTATGAAAATAATCGTTAGCTGCAGCCCTATTCCAAATATTGCATCCATAGTGCACCAAGTAAATCAATATTCCAAATTATTACATCCATAGTGGACCAAGCAAATCAGCAATAAAAAATTATTACATCCATAGTGCACCAAGTAAATCAATATTCCAAATTATTACATCCATAGTGGACCAAGCAAAACAGCAATACAAATGATTACATCCATAGTGCACCTAGTAACTCAGTATTACAAATTATTACATCCATAGCGGACCAAATAAATCAGAAATCCAAATTATTATATTAATTGTGAACCAAGTAAATCAGCAATCCAGTTATCATATACATAGTGGACCAAGTAAATCAATATTCAAAATTATTACATCCATAGTGCACCAAGAAAATCAATATTCCAAATCATTAAATCCATAGTGCACCAAGTAAATCAGCAATCCAAATATTACATTCATAATTACCCAAGCTAGTCCAGATGATTACATCTGCAGTGGATGAGGATTGTGCCTACTTGGTGTATATGGAATATACTGTCCTGCTTCTGTCCCAGCTGTCACATTTTGAGTTCCCTTTCTTTCCCCTCTCCTGTACTACCGTGTTTCCCCGAAAGTAAGACCTACCCCGAAAATAAGACCTAGCACTATCTTCAGGGATTTCTGTAATATAAGACCTACCCCAAAAATAAGACCTAGTTCGGTGGTAGGTCTTATATTACAGAAATCCGCTAGGTCTTACTTTCGGGGTAGTTGCACATAAACTGTGTAAAAACCGGCCGCAGCTCCTGCCCCGCCCACACGCCAGCCGCAGCTCCCGCCCACACGCCCGCAGCTCACGCACGCACGCACAATGGAAGCGACATCCGCCGGGAGCGGCAACAGCACGCCGCCTTCCGGGACCTCGTCCACTTCTCCCCCAGCCAGGTAAGACCTAGTGTCTTATTTCGTGAAAAAAAAACAATAAGACAGTGTCTTATTTTCGGGAAAACACGGTACAATGTAACCAGCGGCTCTACACATTGTTGCCACTAGAGGGTGCTGCATGACAACAATGAGGGTACAGTTTTACAGCAGCAGCAAGCCAATGTGCTAGAAGGAACTGCTTCAGCTTGCAGCTAAAATGTAAATCCAGTGTTTACCATCTCTTGTTTGATTATCTGCCAGGCTCTCAGCAATAAAACTATCCCATAAAGCCGATCACTTGGGAGCCGAAGAGGAAATGCATTTATGGAAAAGCTAGTGAAACATTACTTTAACATTGCAATCAGTAAATACAAACTCATGAGGGTCACAACCTCAGAAATGTGCAGCCACATAATGCCAACTGTTCCTAGTGTAACAAAAATAAAGTCCCCGGAATAAGTCTATATATAGCATTATTGTTCAGTTTTCACCATCTACATAGTAATATTTTTTGCCTTGCACGCCTGGATATGGAAATAGTAACAAAAGCTAGGAAAGCAAGATTTTAAAGGAGTTGTAAAGTCCCGCATATCCTATCCTGGTATATCATCAGCATTGTAATAGGAATACATCCTAGAGTCATTTTTGATAATGCAATAAAAGCTTACTTTAGGCTTTAAGCTTACTTTAAGCTTACTTTACTTTTTACCTTTAGGCGTTCCCTAAAGACTCATCTCTTCAGGGAAGCCTATCCCACCTCAACCTAACCACTGAACCTTCACATTCTCACATAATTCATTCCCACACTGCTACCTCCTCATGTATCATTTCCCCCTCCTCTTTTAGGCCCCATTCACACTGAGCGATTTATCGCACGCTTTTTGCAGCGATATCGCTCATATTTCCACGCGATATCGCTCTATGTAACTTCTACAATCCATTTAAATGGAGCTGTTCACATCTCGCCGCTAAATATCGCTTGTAGCTCGTCGCTGTAGCTTGTCGCTCCTACATGACCCTTTTTGCTGCGGATTTCAAACGATTTTGCTCCTGATTGCATACAGCCCAATAGGAAAAAGTCGCGCAATATCGCGCGATTTTCATGCCGCTTAGTGTGAATGGGGCCTTAGATTGTAAGCCCTCAGGGGCAGGGCCCTCCTTACCATCTTGTCTTGAATTGTATTGTAACTGTAATGTATTCCTTATATTGTAAAGCGCTGCACAAACTGTTGGCGCTATATAAATACTATGTAATAATAATAATAATACTAATATTTGAAAATAAAAATCCCTTTTATGTAGTGAGTGCTGCCTTCTGTCTGCCCATCACTTTCAATATTTTCCTGGATTCCCAATGTGGTTTGCATCCCTTTCCCTGCTGCTTGATGTGATGCAATCTCGATTTCTCAAGACTACACATCCCATCATGCATTGCTTCAAGCAAGCAATGATAATGTTACATTGTTCAGACATTTAGTTATAGTTCAGAACATGTGTGTGTGTGCGTGACTCATGGAAGTGCATATTCAGAAGGCTGAGTGAAATTGTGTCAGTGCAATGAGGAAGTAATTCCCATTGTACATCTTCAGTAAGTAAGTTTTCAAATGTCTAGATTAATATGCTTATAAGGTGTGGGATAGAACTTCAATTCAATATAGAAATACAGATGTATTATTAGTTTTTGCTCATAGATACCATTTCGGGGCACGGTAGGGGTCAGGTGGGGCGACTGGTGGCGAGTAACTCTTAAGGCCTGGCTAGTAGCTCAGGACTTGAAATTTTGAGTCCTGCCATTTAACATATACTGTATCAGGCTGTAGCATACTAAAGTAACCTTATGGGCCTGATTGACTGAGGGAAAATGCACAGACTAATGAGCAGACAAAATGACTATGAAGGTAATTGGTACAATGTGAGTGTGCAAGCCCATGCAGATGTGGCTGTCACAGTGCCCCCTCCCGCCTCTTTCCTCCTCACTGCAGTGATGGTATGTCCCCCAATGTCCTCATGTGCTATACAATGTGTATTCAACCTGATGATTCAGGGACCTTAGACCCCCGGCAGCGGAGAGGTAGCAAGGTGGAAGGGACTGGTCTAAGAACTGGCTGGCCCAGACCATCGGGTGAGTATAACTTTTTTTTTTTAGCCTAGACAAAAACAAGCCAATAACCCCTGCAGTGCAGGGAGCCCCAAGGTTAATAACATTTGTACCTGAAGTTCTGCTTTAAGCTGGCCATTCACCAGAAGAATTTCATTCGAAAATCACATTTTCAGAATGTTTGGTTTTCTAATAGTTAATGGGGTCAAATTCGACAATTGTTTTTAACCATAGTGACAAAAACAATGAAGGAGTAGCATGAAAAATGTTTCTCAAACTAACAAAATTCTAACAGTGAATGTGGTTTTCATTCAAGAAGCTCCATTTATTCCAAAATCAAATGTTAAAATCAAACAAAATGTCAAAAGACATCATTCAAGTTTCTGAGGGCTTTATCGAATGTTCTGATAAGAGTTTTCATATCAACATCTACCAGTGCATGGCGAGCTTTAAAAAAAACATGTATCGCAGGTGCATAGTAAAAACTATGATAGTACAATTTGGTTCCTAGGCCTTCTCCTACAGCATACGTGCATATGTTTTAGTTAGGGTTCCACCGATACTGATACTGGTGTTGGTGCCGATACTCGTACTCGCCCAAATGCAGAGCCGTAGCTAGCTAATTTTGCGCCTGAGGCAGGAACAGAAAATTGTGCCCCGCGACGTGTGCGGTTACGTGACGTCATGCGCCCCGCCTCCAGGATGGTTTGACAAGCTAATGAAAACATTTTTAGTTTCGGTTCATTTCGTCTGACACAATTTTTTAGTCTTAGATAAGTACAGTAGTGCAGGTAGTTTGCCTAGCATGAGCTAAGTTAATTTTAGCTTCAAAATAAAAGTGCTATTTTGCTGAGAAGATAAAATCCCATCCAGGTCAGTTGTATACAATGCAAGTTTCTTGCAGATTTTATTGCAGATCCCCACTTGCTTCTTTTTTTGCACACATTGAGGTAAGCCATTCCACTGTACTTATTCAAATCCCTCATTTAATATAGTTCACATGAGCAATCCCAATGTTGCAATAGAAAAAAATCCATCCTGTTCTGTCCCGAATGTCGTTTTATGCAAGAATAATATCTCCGAAAAACCCAGTGTGTATGAAGAATATGGAGGTTTGCTGACAAAATCCACAGGCAGTTGAACTCACCAAGAAGTCCAAGAAGACACACAAGTAGGATCCAGTGTAATTTAATCCAGCTTTGAGACAGGCAGAAGATGTTTTCCTGCATTTCTTACAGATAAGGATTGCTTCTGATCCTTCTAACTGCCTGGAACTGACTGGCATCCTTGTAAAGAAGGAAAAGATTGGTAAGCTGGGACCTTTAGAAGCACATTCAGAAATGTGTTTATATTTATATAAAAGTGTACAACCTTTTTATTAACTTACTTTTAATGATTTTATCTTCATCATGTCAGCTACATAACCATGAACAAACATACCTTACGCTACACAGCCTTTGCGATAATTACAATACTCATCAAAAAGACCATGGTGAAGAAGACCCACATGAAGAAGCGATCCATCACCTTGGCCACTTTCTTCCACTCGATTCCTTTAAGGCTGATAGATTTCTGCTCACGGTACCAGTTGGTGATGTATTCAATGTTATTTGCCAGAACTCTGTAATGGATGCAGTGATTACAGTACTGATGACGGGGAATGTCACACTGATCTCCCTTGTCCCCAGCAGCTTGGTTATTTTGGCATGCATGGATGTCACAGACAAAGTCATCTGCTGCAGAGAAAGAATACTTTAAAGTGTCATGAAAATCCTGTTCCTTCTCATAGTCATCGTAAGAATGAACACTGTCCTGTGAAACGGTGTCATTTTCTTCCTGGGAACTGGTGCAGTTCTCTCCCACATCATAGACAAAAAATATCTTGGACATGTAGCCAAGTATGACAACCCTTGCCCAGTTAGGGATAGGCTTTGCTTCTGCCCCACATAGGTGAATGTTCATGATGATGATAGTCAGCGCTGTTGAGGCTGTAACCATTGTCATTGTGGCTATGTAGTATTTACCTAAAGTAGAAAAAAAGTGTCATTTTGTATAGTCTTAGATAGACCCTCCCTGCTTATTCCTTGTTCCCTCATTTGTATTGCTAGTCCTCATTGCAGACACTTGGTTTAGAAGATCTATTGTCTTTTTACACTTCATCTGACCAGCAAACATCCTCTGTATGTACTTTGAGAAGCAAAATTACGTTGGATTTAAGGCATGTGTCTTATTGGAGAGTTAGGCTGTCTGTGGATGGATCTGAATCAGCTTGGCATTATACTAGCCGGAAAGATCGAGGTCAAAAGGAGGTATGTTAAAGCATAAAGCGGCTCTTGGAACAGGCGCTACTACAGAAGCTGTAGCACTCCTAGCATATAGTAGTCTTGTCTTTTTTTCCCCCTCCCCCATTAGCCCATTAGCTCTAATCATCTGTCATTCACTTACATCAGGATTATTACAAATCCTGATGTAACTAATGCACTATCTTGTGTCCCCCTCTGGGAAATTTACTTTAATTTTCCATCTGAGAGACATGACAGAAAGTTAGAAGAAATCTCCCCAAAGAGGGAAATCCCAACTTTGAGAGATGTCACCGAAACAGGTGTTCTCTCTGGACGATTTCCACTCTACTTCTGTGCTGGTGCAAGCTATAACATTTTGGATTTACTTTCACATTTTGTTCTGTTGACAATGGTAAAAAGGACATGCCATCAGGGCAGATCTCCCTAAAGACCTGACAGGGGTTCTAATTTCTCACAAATATATCCAAAACTAGAGAAAAAAATAGATAAAGTTCTACTTTACTTATAAACAATGGGAAGAGCCATTCAAAACTTTGTGAACGCTCAGTCTGTGAATAGAGGTAAAAACAATCATTCTTTCTATGCTCCTTAGCTTTGTCTAGTGTCCATAATGCAACATTTTCCACTTTTTTCTATATTACGTATACTGAACATTTAACTAGAAAAGAAAATATACCAAGAACATTAGTTTTTGACTCCAATTGCACAGAAAAAAAAAGGTTTATGGAGTTTCGCAGGACAAATGCCTCTGTGAATTCTTTATAAATGTACCCCTTTGTGTTTCGATAAATACCAAATTACAGCTAATAGGACAGGTATTTGTGGGACAGGGCATTGATGGCCTCAGCAAATAGTGGTATTACAGCAAGAGTCACATTGTGAAGGCTCTTTCAATATTACTGGAGAGATGGAGACAATGGATCAAGAAGAGCAGGATTGTGGAGAGCTGTACATATCTCCTATTATCTTTGTGTATGTACTAAAGGAAGATACTTACCTATTAATGGCACACTTTCAGAAGGAGGCATGCTTTCTGCAACCATCAACTGAAAGACGGTCAGAGCCAAGAGCACGGTGACTCCTAGAGAGACCTTTTCTCCTGAGTCTGCAGGAAGGTAGAATCCTAAAGGAGCCAGGAAAGATATCATCACACATGGGATTAACAAGTTAAAGATATAGAAGGAAGACCTTCTCTTGAGAATCAGTGTGAAGGTGATATCAGGGTACGGATCGGAGCAGCAGCCATATGTAATGACATTCTTTACTGCTGGCATGCCTTGCATTTCCCATTCCACATTTTCCACAAAGTCAGACAGGTCTCCTGTGTCCATAGTATTTATTATATCCACCTGATTACCATTGTAGGTCCAGGAGCCAAACGTTAGATTGCATTGCTGCTTATCAAATGGGAAATAGGAGACATCCACAACGCAGGAGCTTTTGGTGATAGCCGGGGAATCCCATGTGATTTTTCCATCATAACGCAGGACAACATTTGTATTTACTGGTTCAGAAAATTCATCATCTGCCCTGTGGATTGAAGGCATTGAAACATCATTAGGTGGTAATGTGTTCACAGAGTCACCAATGTGCTATGTAGTGTAGATATAGTATAAGGTAAAATGAGATTTAGCTGTACAGATGATAATAGTAGACTCTTAGAATGACTCATCCCAAAGAATAAGCATTATGTCTCACCAGCATTAAAGCAGAAAAACACAAGTTTAGTTAAGCTAGGTACACACTCACATCTAGACTGCAAATTAGACAACTAAGGCATTCACCATATGGGCTGTTCTGAGAAAATTGTAGGCTTGTGTTAGCTGGTGTGGCAGCACATCACTTAAGGAATCCCCTCTTGTCCTATGACTTCACTAACCAAGAACCTTATGCAATTAGGAGTTCTGAGTTTACTTTGACTTTCCTGACCTGCATATTTACCCATGATTAGTAGCTTACAAAGCATTAGGGTCAGCATAATTTTCAGAAGGGCAAGGCAGATGCAGCCTCCATGCTTATATCGGGTAAGATGCCCTGTAAGTCAATGGGGGTGTCCTGAAGAGGACGCATAGAAAACAAACACAGAGAAGGGAATTTATCATAACTGGAGCGGCAACCAATCAGCTTCTATCTCTCATTTTCAAAGCTTAACTGAACAAATCGAAGATAGAAGCTGATTGCTCCAGATTGTGTCTGCCCCAGTTTTGATAAATTCCCCCATGGCATCGCAAAAACTATTAAGAAGAAATGCAGATTAATTGCAGTTTGAATGTTTTCTTCCTCTAGCGGCTACTCTAAAAAAACTACTATTATATTTAATCCAATTACAAAGATATGGAAAACCAGGCATGTACAAATGTGAGTCACATTAAATGTAAATAACTAAAAAAGTATTTAATGAAAATACACCACACTTTTCTTTTAAATACAGAAAAAGTCTGAACTGCACCCTAAAAAAAACAAACAATAGAATAGTTTTGTAAGACATCATCCGAAATTGCAGTGCATCCCTGGTTTCTCTCCTCCCCGCTATGTGCTGCTCTGTGTCCTCTCTGACACAGTGCAACGTCCAGTGTGGAGGAGAGAAACAGCCGAGCGGGGCCGGGAGTGCCCTGCCCCGCTCAGCCTCCTGCACAGATTAGGAGAACGGCGGTGTGGGGGCAGAATCACAGGAGGCAAAGCCGGTGGTGAGGGGGAGGAGTCATCTGTCAAATGAGACCGAGCTCTCCTCCCCTCACGGTCAATTCTATTCACATTGCAAATGTATTTTCATGTAGTGACGCTAAGCCATTTTCCAGGTAATTGTAGAACACTCAAATGGCTGCCACATACCTTTATAGTTTGTTTTGCCAGTGGCCTATGAAGACACACATTTGCAACTTCTTTATAATTGTTTAATCAATTTTAGGAGAATTTTGCCACTTAGAAACCCATGCTTCTAATGCTGGTAATTCACAGTCACATATGTTACATAAGCTATAAATATTTGTCTGGCCACGCAACCTGAGACATTGATTTCTTCCTACCAACTGAAATATTTTCTTCCCATTGTCAATAATAAGAAAGTGCCAGCTTTGCTGGCATCATGAATATAAATATACTGCGACAGAAACAAAAAGTTGTCATTCCTCTGACCTTTCTACCTACTTGTTATAGAGCACGATATCTGGTCTCCATACCATGTTGCTTGGGATACGGATAGAATCTAGACCATCATAGTCATCTTTGTTCCATGTCAGGTATGCATCATACCAGCTTTGCCTAATCCACAAGTATGCTGTTAATATCTGATTCCTTTCATCCTGGGAAAAAAGGAGATATTTGGACATTTAAGGTTACAGGTTAATAAAAATTGCTCTCCCCACGTACCTGCCTAGGCAACATTGCAAAGTCTAATGGTTTTTAAATAGCAGTGAGAAAGTAGGATTGTAATAGATAGAATATGTTCATACATAATTATACACAGAAACTATGTATGAATACATTAAATCATATCACAAGAAAATCTACTAGTAGTAGAGTATTGTTCCGTGCTAGCCATCAATTAAAGTCCACTTCTGGATGCAATAAACTAACTGTAGTTCAGTAAGTTGTAGAGTCACTTGCATGTTGTAGAGTTATATGATGTAAAGCCACCCACCGTAATCTGAACTGCCTCTCGCTCCCCACAAATCATTACTAGACACGTCCAGCTCTTTCTGAACTTCCGTGCCCACTATGGCTGTAGTGCTGCAGATTTCATAGACCCCAGTGCTCCACTTGCATCTCCACCCCGCCCCCCCCCCTTGCCCCCTTCTCCTGGAAAGTCACAAAACTCTTGGCTTTGTTTGATTGGTGATTAGCTGGGGTGTATGAGACCTGCAGCACTACAGCTGGAGCAGACACCCAAGTTCAGCACTAGCTGGATTTCCACCCTTATCTAAACTGATGATTTGCAGGGAGAAAGAGGCAGTTCTAATTATGGTGGGTAGCTTTACAGCAAATTGACTCTACAATTTACTGAACTGCATTAAGTTTTTGCAACCAGAGTTGGGCTTTAATGCAGAAAGTAATCAGGTTTAAGTTGTACCTTTCATTGGCTAACAATTATATTTTTAAAATGTCAAGACTACAGTGTGCCTTTAGGTAGGTAAGAAGCATGTATCTGCAGCTGGATAGAACACATCTGATAAAGTAGCCTGCGATATTTAGATGGCAGAACAATCATTCATAATAGGATTGGGAATGTTCTTGCTTGTGCCTACGTAGAGTGAAGTGGGATCTCGGCAGGTACCCGTTGTCTCCAGATAAAATCCATCCCAGCCATTGACTGTGAGAGCAGACTTGGGCAGTAGGTAAGAGGGGAAGCATACAGGATAAACTGGGCAAAGTTTCTCTTATGTTTGTAGGTGTGTTTGCTAAAAAATAACTTATGAATACTAAAATATAATGCCGATGTTACAGCTCACTGCTGCATTGGCTTTTAAAGTTAGAGGGGTGAGTCTATGTAGCATCACCATTATAAAATTGTCACAGAACTTTAAAGCTACATACTAACGTTGATGATCCAGTCACCAGCTCAGACATGATCTGGCCATCAAATATTGGTTGTAATAAAAGATCAGAATAATAAAAGATTAGCACAAATGTATGATAACATCAGGCAAATATGTTTGTGCATCAGGGGAAACAGTAGTGTTGGCCATTCAACTCTCGCACTGAGAACACTGTGGCAGGGAACACAATTCCCTGCCACAGACGAGGGTGGCTTAGTTAGAGATATAGGAATATTCTTCAATTCAACCCTAAATGACTAGAACAGGTGAATGGTATCTGTATACATCTTACTACTCACCACGAGTGAAGGGCATGGACTTGATACAAACCCACTTCGCCTGAGTTCACCCAGACCCACTCAAAACTGACCGCCACTCTCCCCTCTTGGCACAATCAGTGATAGTAGGCACATTCACCGCCCCACAGCTATACCTCCCAAAGGTGGGGAACGCCCTAACCACAACTGCCACCACTGATTGGCCCTGGAAGGGGAAGCGGTGATCACAGTTATGAACAAGCATGGGTGAACTGTGAACCCAATGGTATGCCTTCAGATACCATTGGGTTCACACCAAGCCCTGGGTACATCACTACTCTCCAGATAAAAACTCATTAATCTCATTAAATATACTCACAATGTCTTTGATCTGAGAAAGAGTTATTTGCAGGGTAACATTCAATTCTCGATCAGTATCTTCCACTGGTCTTAGGGCATTGGAATAAGTCTCAAACAGATCCCGGAATAACATCTGTGCATATTTTCCTTTTGCTGATTCCACCCCTTAACAGACATATAAACAGGATAGTAAAATATATGATACACTGTATAAATATATTAGCTTCTGTTTAAAGTGTCTATCAACCCGAAATCTTTTTCAGCATGTTTGGCATCATGCCTCAATGTATACGGTTTTGTTAAGCAAATCTTTTTTTTTTGTGTGAAACAAAGTTTCTTAGCCGGAGATCCTGCCAGTAACAACAGTTTCTGCCTCTATTTACGCTAGCCACGCCCATGAACGTGTGCAAAATCGCAGGATTTTGTACACGCTCACACAATGCATGAAAAGCACATGTCAGGATGGCAGTGGCACTATTTGTTATAGCACTCCAACGTGGCATGGAAGATGTGTGAAGCTTGCAGCTCAACCTTCTGCATGAGCTTCTTTACCACATTTGTCATGCAAGGCTAAACAAAAAAGTTCTCTCTGTGTGTACCTAGCTTTACAGTCACCAGAATCTGCTTTTCCACTCTCTCCAGTGGGTTCAGATGACAGTGCGTAGGATCTCATCTATTCATAAATGCCATTCACAGGCAGTACAATAAAATGTGTGGTAAGTCCAAGCAGCACCCAATTCTACATTCCTCTGGCAACTCACCTGACTTGTTTTAATGCAAAGTTTTTATACCAGTTATATAAGAGTTACATTCACTTCCTCATATTGCTCTGCATTCACTGTGCTCAGGAATACCAGCTTACAAAGGTTGGTCATAGTACAAGGAAACAGCAAGCCTGACATAGCTATACAGGGTGTAACTTTCTTATCTAATAACATAAATATATATGTACAACGTTGTTTGTTTCTTTTGACGTCAAGCATGTAAAACAGTACTAACAATAGTTTTAAATTGTGCAAATTATGTTTTTTAAAGCCCAACTGAACTTTCAGTTTAAATCAGCTAAATACATTCCAGGTGCATAAAAACAAAAAGTGTGCAGACTTACAGTTTGTTTTTGTTGAGTGAAAAAGTCTGTCACCTGTCAGCATGCTACAGGGAAGGACCCTTTCTCTCTGTATGGAAGCATTGTGTTAGGGAACCAAGACCAGACAGAAACTAAAGTGAAGGTTAAATGTAAAAGGAGTTTATTGAAAATCACAATAAACAAAAATAACAAAAAACAATGTAGAAAGTCCAGGACGTCATCTATGCCAAGCCAGAGGTCAGATGCCAAAGCGGGTAGTCAGTTGAACCAGGTCAGGGAACACTGAGAGTAGAATGAACGGAAACAATAGTCGGAGTCAGGAACCAGGAGATCAGTCAGCCAGAGCCAGGGTCAACAGCAGAGCACTTGGTAGATCTAAACACACACAACGGAGGAGGCTGAATGGACAAGCTGGTGGTTAAAAAGTGAACTGGTGTTGCATCTTCACTCTGAGGAAGACATGAATTTGTCAGGAGTTTGTGAATAGTTGCAGAATGATGATGTTTACAGGTTTGGTCATAAGAGGGCGCCAAGGAGGAAGGAACAGTGTCAGACACACTGCACAAGACATGCTGCAGCTACACTGGACGAGGAATGGTAAGGACATGACAGATCCTTAAAATAGTAGCCCATAGAGCCTGAGGCACAATTTTTTTTCCTATGAAAAACAGTCCAAATTTCTCCTGCATATTCCATTTTTGAGGTAGTGTATCCCCAGAAGAAGCTTGACAGATTTGAGAGATAAGGTCGGGTTGTAAAAGCAAAACATTCCCAGCCTGCAGGATAGTATCTGGTTGTGAATGGGAATCAGCTTCAGGAAATGTGTGTGACCATGCATCGAGCTTACCATACCATTGAGCCTAGCCAGTAGGTGATATGAAAGTTGAAATGTGAAAAGAATAATGCCCATCTTGCCTGTCGAGGTCTCAACTGCCTCGCTGATCTCAAGTATTCTAAATACTTGTGATCTGTGAGGATCAACATTGGATGAGCTGCCCCTTCTAGCAGGTACCGCCATTCTTCTAGGGCTAACTGAATTGCCAGAATCTCACAATCTCTGACATCGTAGTTCCTCTCTGCATTGCTCAGTTTCCTAGAGAAAAACACTACAGGATGCAAAAGTGATTTTGGTCCTTGGCATTGCGACAAAAATTTAAATTTCCTGTAAACGTTGGCAAACCCAATGAAGAGCTGAACACCCTTCTTGTCCCACAGAGGAGGCCAATCTAGGCTAGCAGACACATTTTGAGGGTCCATTCCTAAACCGCTGGCCAAAATGACTGGACTCAAAACTGAATCGACTGCTGCTCAAATCCACACTTCTCTGCTTCTGTATAAAGTCCATGCAGCCTAAATCTGGTGAAGACCCTCTTTACGTATTTTTGGTACTGTTTCAAGGAGGGAGAAAAAAATGAAGATATCATTGAGATAAACTATCACAAATAAGCCTAAAAAGTCATGAAAATGTCATTTATTAAATGTAATTTATGAAATGCTGGAAGGTGGCAGGAGCATTACAGGGGCCGAATGGCATAACAAGGTACTCAAAGTTACTGAAGTGTGTACAGAAGGCTTCCATTCATTACCTTACTGAATACGAACAAGATTCTATGCCCCTTATAGATTTCACTTGGTGAAAATGGTTGCTGAACAGAGTCCGTAGAACAGTTCTGGGGTCAAAAGTAGTGGATAACGTTTTGTAATGGTCATCCAATTCAGATCCCTGTAGTCTACACATGGGAGAAGTGTTTTACCTTCTTCTCCACAAAAAATATTCCAGCCCGGTCAATGAGGTTGATGGACAAATAAACCCCCTTTTCAGGTTTTCATCAATATACTCCTGAAGGGCCCCAAGTTCTGCTGCTGTAAGGGGAAAGATTTGCCAAAACAGAATTTCTGGATGGATGGCTGAAGGATGAGAAGTAATGAAGGAAGACTGACACTTCATGGTCTTGACAGGACATGCCTGCACATAATATCCAGCCCCACCACAGTATAGGCAGAGGTTCTGTTCATGCCATTGCCCTCTTTATTTCGAGAGACAACTGTGCATGGAGAAGCCCCAACTGCATAGGTTCCGATTAATCAGGGACAACAGTTGTAGTTGCAGCCTGAGGAGCGATGCTGGTGCACAGGAAGGATGATGTGACCCTCGGTAACATCCAAGTCGAGGGGGGTTGGCTGGATCTTTGTTGCCTGCCTTCCCTCAGGTGGCGTTTAATCAGAATGGGCAGTGTAATGAGTCCATCTAATGATTTAGGAACCCCCAACAAAAGCAAGTTCATCTTTAAGTGGATTGGACAGTCCTACGCGAAACATCATTCCGCTCTGAGTATACACTCAGCTCCAACTCAGCTCCAAAGTATACAATATTGATTCAGCAGTGTTAGCCCGATGGGGGTCATCATACAGGAGAGCTTTGGCATCAAAGAGGGATGATGTGGACCTCAGTAGAGGCATTGGGCCCAGGCTTGTTGTTCATTCTGTAGAAGCAAGATAATAAAACCCACTTTTGTGGCTTCAGATGAAAATGTGCAAGGTTGCAGTATGAAGTACAACAGGTATGCATTCTGAATGCACGGAACTTGCTGCGGTCTCTGGAAAATGTCTCAGGCGTGAGTACCCAAGTTTTATGTGGGGGTACCATGACTGTTGGTACATAAGCAGGGGTCTCTGCAGAATAAGTAGTTACAGGAGATGGAACAGGAGTAACAGGCGTATACTGAGATAGGCATTCTAGCTGCCCCTCCAGCTGGAAGTACCCTCCTTGAGCAGCGCCCAGCGGGGAGGAGAGAAATCACGGATGCACCGCTATTTCAGCCAAAAAATGGGATATTGCCAAAAGTGCCATTTTCGGCCTATATGTTTCGCAGGCCAATATGTCGGTGCATTCCTAATATATATACAGTATATATATATATATTACTATTGTACAGATGTCTAGCACAAGTAAACCTTTTGCCACACATTAGAATATGGAGACAGAGGGTACATACAGTAGAGATCAGTACTCAGCCATGCATTTCCCAACTTGTATACCTGATATCTGACATCCGCACATGTCCCGTATTCTATTCTTGTTACATTTTCATGCAATATCTACTTTCCTTGAGCATGTTATACCCCTATATATCTCAATACATTATCAAACCATCATGAGAGTGGACAACCTCTAAGTCACTTTCACATTTCATACCAACTCATGCTTGCCAAAAATTATACAAGTTGATCATTAACTGGTCAGACAGCCGATTGTAATATTTCCCAGTAAGTGATCTCACCTTTCAAGTCCAGAACTGTTGAGAAAAGCCACGTTAAACCACAAATTGCTGCTGAACACATCTTCATCCTGTGTACTTTGTCTTTTTTATAGCAGTGAAGTAAATTTCTCAGCTGAATAGTTCACTCAAAACAATTTTGATAAAAGAAGAAAGATGTTGATTGTTGATTGTTGAAATAGTTCTCAAGGAAGTTTAGTCTTTCCTGGAATCTAATTTATGATGAGGATGTACAAAAAGAACATGCAGTACTGTATAGCCAGAGAGAAACTGATATGGTAAAGAGCAACCAGTCTACAAAAGGTGATCTGATAGTGTCACGGTTCAGTGATAACTAGTATACTAGCAACCACCATGTTCTACTGTTTCAACCTGTTCTGTGAGACAGTGTATCGCTGCATAAAGTACATGCTTTTAAAAATTGCTAATAAAAAATGCATTTCACCCGGCCACTGAAATGAAGGTTTTCATGCAATTGTAAAGCCAACCCACTTGTCCGGCACCCTCCACTAGAGTGTATGTTAAAGTCAATGGAAAGTCTGACCATACATTTCTCTTATTTGCTCCCTTTTAGATCTGTTAAAGTGGAAGTTAAGAAAATTGCTGAGGGGTAGGGATTTTTAACAGAAGGGACATGCAAAGTCTATTCTGACCAAAAAAAATTAAAATCTTCCTTTCCCCCAGTGATTTGTTTATTTTTTGTGTACACTGTATGGTATGGTACATGCGCAGTACAGTGTACACACTCAGTCCATTCACAGCATCTCTAAGATTCCATCAATGGGTCGGGTGCCAGGGAG